CTATCATATCGGAGAGCAGCACGTTCTGCATATTGTAAAGTCTAAATATAGGTATTTGGGACATGGCCCCTCCATAGGGAGGGGGTCCACTTCCTGCACTTCCTGTCATACACTTACACTCCACTGGCTCAGTTACACAACAAACAGCCAATCCTGAGACGCAGAGAAGATTCTGTAACAACTTTGAGTGGCCAGTTTATTACCTTGTATCTACAGCCACTGGCCATTTTATCAGAAACACCTACAACCTCGTTTTCCAAAGAAGTTGGGACGCTGTGCACAATGTAAATAAAAACAGAATGCAATGATGGGCAAATCATTTAAACCCTATATTTAATCGAAAATAGTTTCCAGACTTTGTGAGAGAGACTGTTACAACTAGCCCTTCAGCCTGTTACCATTACTACAGGGTAAACGGTAACATCTGCATGTGTGCACTTTCATTTGTAGCCATCATTTTGCTCAAAAATGTTTAAAATTACTTATCAAAAACAAAAATGTTAGGTTGTGCCCTGTTCTCCCTTAATGCTGACATGATATCATGGCCTACTGTGCAGCCCACATGCGCACAGACTGTGACTGTAAAGGTGGAAATGTGTGGGAGTGATTTTCTCCGCTGTGTTAAAGTCCCTGTTAAAGAAGATAATGGGTTCTGGCAGCCGTGTTCAGGGACTGAACTGCTAACCCCGGGCTAACCTCCCTCTCTCCTGGTGGGCTCTTCCTGCTAAAGCTATTATTCTGTCTTAGGTCAAAGACTGACTTACGGCAGCTTTTCATGGCCGAGATCAGGGACAGTTCTCTTTCATAAGGAAGACAAAGAGCACTCCCTCATCCTCAGCTGACCTGTTTGTGAGTGTTTGTTGTTGCCTTTCTGAAGAACAACAAAGATCGCTCACTCTTCTGGAGAAAGAGGGAGATATCGATGTTTTTGAATGATGTGAAACGATGTTTTTTCCTCTGAGTCACACGAAGTGCCATCATATCTTTACAAACTGCTGCTGACCCAATGGAACAGCTCAACACGCTTGGAGGAGACTGCTAATTGCTAATTCAGTTACATCAGCTAACATACACCCATGCTGGAGTGATGGTGAGAAAGAGAGGACCATCCTGTCAACCCAGAGAGAGAAGGCAGTTACGCTCGCTTGGACTCCTAACCGCAGACGGCCGTGGCATTGCCAGGGATAAAACTCACAACCTCCTGATAACAGGACCACTTGAGAGGCCTTTTTTGTCAGTTTTTGACATTGAAAACAAACTAAAAAAATCACGTAAGGCAATATGCCGCGCTGAGCAGGAGGCTGATTATACTCTCTTGGACTCCTGGCCAAGAATGGCAGTGGTGTCAAACTCCCACTAGCAGGGCCAACCCTTACACGGCAGCGTCGTTCAGGAGACCTGATTATTGCTTTACGTTTTTGCCCTGATTAACATCAGCTAGGTCCGAATTTTAGCATTTTGATTTTCACCACTGACACGATGTAATAAATACCGGTATATGTAATGCACAGACAAACTATATCAATGTGAGTGCTCCCTGCCAAATACTGGGGGAGCCTCTGGCTGCGACCTGTAGGAAGGCGACTTGGACATCCAACCCGGCCCACATCTATCCCAGCCCTCTTGTTACGCCAGAGGCCACGCAATCTCCAATACGACATCACTCCCATGAAACGTACAGAACTTTCAAACAGGAGCAGAAGTTTACCGAAGCGAACTCGCTGAACGGAAGAAGTATTTCGCCTGTTATATCGGTAAGAAAAACATTCAGTTTGTATCTCAGTATAATTACAAAGCTTTTTGTGATATTGTTGTCAATATAATATTAAACTCGACTGATATCGACCATTTTACAATGTGTACTGACAAGTTTGGGCTGCTAATTACTTAAAGATGCTACAGTAGAATCACTTCACAATTCATCTGTATATAGTATGATAAATTGATATCTGTTGGTTTTATGGACTACTTATTAGAAATGACCATTTTATAATGTGTTTAATGTGCTTAGTAAAACATACTTGACAATTGTGGGGATTGTGCCTGCCAATTACTTAAAGATTCTACTGTATACTCTACAATTCAAAATAATAGTCTACCAATCGTTGATAACGATAACGAGAGGCGATATATGTTCAGGAGATATCCTAACTGAAATGAAAAGCAATGTACAGCCTAACAATGAAAAGCAAACGTGAAAAACCTGTAAACAATGTTGTGCTACATGAGGTATGCGTAAATCAGGCGCCATGAAGTGCTTCTTGAAAACATCAGCGTTATATGCGTAGATCAAGCGGTACACTGTGCTTCTAGAACGCACAGCATGATTGACAGGCTCGAGAGGTGACGTACGGTAGGCCCGGTTAGATGTGGGCCAGGTTGGATGTCCAACTGCACCTTCCTACAGGTGGCTGTATTAAATTAAAAACAGTACAGTGTTAATGGTGCTTTCACAGATGTGCAGGTCACCCAATAACAGACCACAATACATGTTTCCACTGTGCATTTGTCCATATCAGATGAGCTTGAGCCCAGAGAAGTTGGCAGCGTTTCTGGATGTTGTTGATATATGGCTTCCACTGTGCAAAGAACAGTCTTCACCTGCATTTGCGGATGCAGTGATGGACAGTGTTTATTGACAATATTTTTTCAAAGTATTGTGATATCCATCACAGAATCATGCTGGATTTTAATGCCGTCTGAGGGGCAGAAGATCAGGGGCAATCATTTGTGGTTTTTGGCCTTTTCCTTTACGCACAGAGATTTCTCCAAATTGCTGGAATGTTTTGATGATATTGTGCACCATAGAGGATGTTATATTGAATCCTTGGCTGATGATCCTTAATTTTTAAATTTTGGATTTTATGCTGATACATTGGCGAACCTTGACCCATGCTTGCACATAAAGCCTTGCCTCTGTGCTCCTTTTATACCAAAGCATGATTGCATCACCTTTTTAGGATGTTGTTTAGAATATTTCACAACATTCCTAATCTTAGGCCGTCCCTTTCTCAACTTTTTGGAATGTGTTGCAAGCATCAATTTCAGAATTAGCCTATATTTGACAAAAAAAAAAAAATTAAAAAAAATTAAGTTGATAAAACATTACAAATCTTATCTTTGCACTGTTTTTGTTCAAATACAGATCACAGCAGATTTACAAATCACTGCTTTTCATTTTTATTCACATTTAACCTACAGTCTCAACATTTTTGGAAATGGGTTTGTAGAATATTTAGTCTAATTTCTTTCATAATCCTCATTTACATTCACATTTTCATTTAGTCTGTATATAAAATCTAAAAAAGGCACCCTTCACTTTCTCCTTCTCTCAGCTTAACACACAATGATGCCCAAAATGTTTAGAAGCCCCTAGAAGTCCTGGACTATCCAAGATAATCCAATCAACCAACTTAGTCCCTACAGCCTGCTGAGGCTCAGAGGTTTTGGTAGTATCACACAGCGAGCAGATTTTTCCACACCACCATCTGCTAACAAATTAGCTTGGCCTGGTTCTGTCACCTCGCTGTGACTTTCCCAAAGTTCACTTATGGCGTTTGTGCGGTTCTGTGTACCTAAAACAGTCAAAATTCATTTTCACACAAGCTCTTTTTGTCTATAACACAGCCTGTTTTTGTTACTGTGTGTTTAAGAGATATAAATAAATCAGCTCTGCTGTGATTGGCTGGCCTGTATTGTGCCTCTTTACAAAAGCAGTCCATGATTTTGTTTTCATGTTTTCATGATTGTGACATCATAACCACGATGAATTCAAAACGGGGTGTTTTTTGCATCTTAGTTCTTAGTCCATACATGGACGGTTTAGAGTGAGGAGTGAACAAAACATTTCGAAAACTATAACATGCTTTACATCAGACTCCATACTTATTTCAAAGTATGGACAATTTGGTTTTCCATTATCTGGGCATCCAAAAAAAGACTAAATAATAAGGCAGGTTCACAGTGTCTTTAGCAAGAAGAGTAACTCAATGAAAGAATAAGGAAGATTATTGAATATGATCAACTTTTTAAGGACACATCATACTTTTTTAAACAAAAAAAAGTTTCATAACACACATTCACACCCCAGTCTATATGGTCCATATATGGAAACTACATTAAACAATATATCATCGCTGCCCAATGAAAAAACATGTATCTCCATTTTTTGCGATTTTCACTTTTCTGCATCATTTGAGCTCAGCAGCTGTCCTTTACATTGTGTGAAGATTTCAAGATGATTGGACCAATAGAAATGCTCCAAAATTGCTTAGAATAAAATCTCTTTCCATTAGCTTACATTGAAAGTAAAGAAAGTTTTTGATCTCTCCTGTAAAGTTACTATTTTGGAGATACTTGTTTTTCTTTGGACAGTGATATATATATATATATATATATATATATATATATATATATATATATATATATATATGTGTGTGTGTGTGTGTGTATAACCAGCCTGTTTAATTCTAAGGGATAAAGAGAGGTTGGAAAATGGTCATGCAAAAATTAATTATGACCGTTTTTGCTGCATAAAGCTACATAAATGCTACAGGTGGACTTCATGGAAAACAATAAAACTAGGGGCCAACCGATCTGAATATTTTGTGGCTGATACTAATATCATTAACTGATAATGTCAGCTGGTATAATTCATCATTTATATTTTAATTTATGCTCCAGCAGTTTTAGTTAAACTGTGCTTTATTGACTGATATGACTGTCAGTTCTCAATTATCACACTTACCACAACTCAAACAACAGAAACTCACAGACCTGATACATTGCAGCCCTGAGGGCAGAGCTACCAGAATGGTTTACACTTTTTAATTCTGTCTAATTTTCATTATTTTTCCAAAAAACTATGCTAATTAGCAGCATGTTATTGGCCATATATCACCTAATGCTGTATGACACAAGAAAAATTTAGGTTACTCTGTAACTATACACCACTCTACATACTACACCCAGCCTCCTGATACTACTGTTGGTGGTCCTACCTTGTTGCCGTTCATGATGAAGGCCAGTTTGTCCATCTCCTTGGCTGCGACGGCCATTCTGGGTTTGTCGGAGCAGCCCCTGCTGAAGGGCGGGGTGATGGAGTCCCGTGGGGAGGAGGAGAGTGAGACATGAGGTGAGGAGGAGCAGGAGGTTCTGGGGGATGAGGCAAGAGAGGAGGCGCGAGGGGAGAGGCAGCCCATCTCTACGGCCAGCTCCTCAGTGCAGGGCAGCCTGTGGAAGTGCAGGAACTCATCCGTTTCTCTGTCCACCACCAGCAGCCTGGTCCGGTGCTCCACTGCCATGATCTTCTCAACCACCTGAGAGAGAAATCCATGCAAAAATTACATGTACACAATTTTCACTTAACCTAAATGTAGTCAGATAAGGTGGGTTGCAGGTTCAAATCCCAGGACTCACTGGGTATTCCTGGTGGTGCCCTTGTGGAAGGTACCCAACCCCAACACTTTGAAACCCCAGGTTTGAAAGCTTCTGATGCTCCCAGACTGGGAATAATTATGAAAACAAAATGACAAACTGCCAAGTAGGTTCAATAAACTATAACATAATAAAAATTGACGGGAAAGCTTTTTTTATGGCTGTAAAGAAATCAGAGTCAGCCATAAATGTTAACAATCATTCCTGCTGTTTTGTATGATCTGCTGCTGTTCCTGAGGAACTATGTTTTGCCCCTCATTCAAAATATGTCTGTGGGACGACAATAAACCTGACTTATCATATCCTGGGGACTGTATGCCTGGGAACACATCACTTTTCAGAACTGTTTTTGATAAATTAGCATTTTTACTTTGTTACACGGCAGAAACGTCCACTTTTCTATCTGTCCATAGGAGTCACTGGTGTTACTGATCGTCATTGGTGTTACACATAAGAAAGGAAATACCAGAGACATTTTAATGAACAATGCATTTTACTAAATGAGCATCAAACCACATGATGTCAATTGTGGAACATCCACTAAAATGTGTAATTTAATCCATTTGTTTTCTATTTTTTCCCAGTTATCTAAGAATAAAGTAGGTCACACCAGTGACTTCAGCTAAAAGCTTCGTATGAAATCATGAGCTAATGAGAAAATCTCTGATAACTGGAAGACACAGTGGACTCACCATGTGCTTTTCTTCATAGATCTTCAGAAAACAGGTAAAGGAAGTTGAGTGATGTCATCAGTGTGATTTTTATTTCAAAATGAGAGGTTTTTGTTATGCAGTAACACTAGTGACACAACTCCTGGGGACTTTCATTATATATATATATATATATATATATATATATATATATATATATATATATATCATAATATTTATTTGGCATTTGTTTTCTTTATGTCATTTAATTCATATATTCCATAGTCATGTATTGATTATTGCAGTTAAAATGGCAGAAAAACATGTTTTTTAAGTCAAAATATGGCCTCAGCCTTTACACTGTGAGGACGAGCTCTTCTGTGGTGCTTGGAATTCTATGTAATTGATTTAAAAAACCAATATTGCTAAACTGATGACTCAACAAGGTGTAACTGTTAAAATAACTTTAGTTTTATTTTAAAAGATATGAATAAACTGTAACCCTAACATGTTTTTCAAGTGTGATATACCTGTAAATGCTAGGGACACAGAAGTGGACGACTCTTAAACACTATAAACAGAAAGCTGTTTAGATCTTTTTCTTTGCTGAACTGACAGAACAGCTGATAAAAGCCCTGCTTTGGGAAAAGCGCCAAAGCCCACACATCTTATCTCCTTGTTGGGATGTCAACACTCATCAGGCCTCAAACCTTTCAAGTGCTTAAACCACCTTTGAGCCAAAGAGTTTCAATCTTGGTCTGGAAAACAACACTGTCAAATTTTAGGCCTGCTCTTCAAAGCAAGGAAGAACCTGAAGCCGAACCTGTTGAGTCTAAATATACCCGAAACATTAGTATAAAGCTGTTTTATGCAACAAAAACTTAACAGGTGCTTTTTTTTAGTTACAAAAGTAACAGTAAGAAAATCCTCAAAGTTGTCCTAAAGGTTGGGAACTGAGTACTAGTACACTGGTCAAATAATAGGAGCTAAAACTCTAAGGGTGTGGAACCTGTTTCGGCTCTTCCGCAGAAGATTTACAAGGCTTTATCTAAACATCATCAACCAACAGTACAGCGCCGTGTCAAGAAAATCCCCAACACCCTTTAAAGGGCAGCTGATGGTTAATGGCAATCCAAGCCCCATGTGCAAACGGCCAGAGGGTGCAGAAAAAGCAGGCAAACAGGTTTCCTGGACAAACAACAGCAGTATGGCATGACCTGATGTATTTAAACGGACACTGCGTAGCATCTTGAAGTCTGAATTTCGTCTGTACATTCATTATTAAACCCACCCACAGGGCTGTTTCTTGCTGTAAGCTGTACATACAGCTATAAGGAGTAACATCCACAATAACAAATACAGAAATACTAAAAGAAATTAGATAATTGGGAGCAAAACATGGAAAGAAACTAAATGATTAAGTATCGATTACTTTTCAAAAGCCTATTACATCCACCTCAGTTGTATTTCTGCAGTTGAGGGGCTTCTCATTATTTAAGATTCCGATGGTCTGAGGTCCCCCAAGGTCCCTGGATGGTCAGTAACCCATCCCTGACTTTAAGTTGCAACCATTGCTGACACAGGCGTTCAGTTGTGCACACTCAGCTTGTGTTATCTTCATAGAAAAGCTCTGACGCTCTGGAGCAGCTGCACATGAGCCTAAGGTCTAGCCTGAGCCCCCAGTACTGGACTGGGGAGCAGTGGGACTGCATTCTCTGGAGAGATGGAGCTCCATCCAGTACCTTTGGGATGATCTGGAGTGAAGTGATCCAGAACTGACCATAATGCTCTTGTGGCTGAATGCAATCAAATCCTCACAGCAATGTTCCAACATCTAGTGTAAAGCCTTAGAAGCTGTTACTGCAGCAAAGGAAGATAAACTATATTAATACCATTGTTTTCTGAGGAAACGCTGGATAAGCTGTACACTCTCAAAAAGATGGCTCTTCAAAGGTTCTTTAGTAAAGCGAATGGTTCTATAGTAGAACCATGAGTTCTATATAGTAGCATTGCATGCTTAAATGATTCTCTGCATGGTGAAATGGTTCTTCAGATTGATGGAGAACGTGTTGTGTATGGTTCCTGAACCAAAAAGGTTTTTTTGGTGCTACATAGAACCATTTTCAAATATATAGAACTATTTACATATACAACACCTTCTCCATCAATCTGAAGAACCATTTTAACCATGCAAAGAACCGTTTAAGCATGTAATGGTTCTATACAGAGGATAAGGTTCTAAATAGAACCATTCCCATTACTAAAGAACCCTTGAAGAACCATTTTGTTAAGCGTGTAGGTCATGAAACTCACCTGGTGGTGCGAGTCCTTCTCTACATTTATCCCATTGACCTCCACCACCCGGTCACCAGAGCGGAGTCCAGCCAGGTCAGCAGGTGAACCGGGCTCGATCTTGCGGATAAACTGAGCGCCGCAGTGCCGCTCGCCGTGCAGGTGGAAGCCGTAGCCGCAGTCGCCTTTGGTCAAATAACAAAGCCGTGGCTGAAGGCCTCTCTCCAGCATCTCCCGCTCCACGCTGTAGGCCATGTCCGTCACGAAGGGTTCAGACAAACAGCAGCTGGACGGATCCCAAAAAGCAACAGGATGTGCTGAAAAATCGAGAACGTGTTAGCATGCTAGGCTAACGGCCGTTCGATCCCCACATGTCCAGTTTGAAGATGTAAATAAAATGAATAAAACAAAATAAAAGAGTTAAAAAATCGATGCTGCATGTGTTCTTGTCCACAAAAAGTTGAGCTTACATTGCAAGCTTGATTGAAAAATGGTTTATGTTTGTTTTTCTGTTGGATTTTGCACAACGGAGCACGTTTGACTGGAAAAAAAAAGAATTATTTTTTAAAATAGCTATAAAAAATATCCTAAAATTTCTTCCGTTCTTTTACAAATCGCAAAAGTTTTTTTCTTAATCTTTATTGTAAAAAACAAACAAATAAACAAAAAACAGCCTGCTGAAAAGCGTTTTTTTAGCGGGAAAATCGAACGTTACGTAGCTCCAAAGTTCTAGTGAAGAAAAAAAGCGCCAAAATTATTTAAAAACAAAACCGTTACGCGTGTTCACATTCTAACCGTCATTCGTGGAAAACAACCAAATTAGAAGCCAACGGCCATCATGCTAAAACACAGGAGCCCTGCGATTTACATAACTGAGAAACTGATATTCCTGTTAGAGAAGGAAAAACACGAGGAAGGAGGAGAAACAAATCTCTCGAGCTGTAATCCTGAGGTGGAGACGCAGTAAGACAGCAGCAAGCTAGGCTAAGAGTGCAGCAAACGCCTTTTGGAGGAAAAAGTGACCAAGCAAGAGGAGAACCTGAGGCTGAGAGAAAGATTAGAGGCGTGAAGGGAGGGAACATGAAACTTAGCCTGAGAGAGTGAGAGAGAGAGAGAGAGAGGGAGAGAGAGAGAGAGACTGTGTGTGTGTGAGAGAGAGAGGGGATTGGTTGGAGATCTATTCCAGGATAAGACTCTCAAACACATCCAACAGGAACTCTTCCTCTTCCCGCTGTTTGACTTGGGACCTCATGTATTTTTTATACATATTTTTTTCTGCCAAAAAGAAAAAGAAATTATTTCAGTACCAGCAGTAGTCACTCATTTTGGACTGGCAATGGGCTTATTTATAATATTTAGGGCCCTATCCATCAGGGGTGGGCAATATGATGATATTTTATCGTTATCGTGACAATTTATGTCACAATATGATTTTCATATTGTGGAGCATATCGTGGATCTCGTCTCTGCTTAAGGAACACTGACCGACTGCATATTTCATTACACAGAGAGCATAACTAGTCCTTGGATTGGATTTAGTGCTGCACAGTTTGTGAAACATTGAATAAAATTCATTGTAGTTGTAGGATTACTGTTGTATTTTTCATATGTGGCACTACAGGTCCTCTTTTCTCTTAACAAATCTCAGAAAAACTGAATATCGTGAGGCATATCATGTATCGTGAGGCTGTCTTGAAGTATTGCAATATAATATTTTTGCCCTATCGCCCATCCGTACTGTCAATTTGAATTTACAAAATTTTTTTAGTTCTTTCATGGCTTATTTTTTCAAACTATTATCATTGTATAATAACATAACTAATGACATACGATTAAAGTCTTCATTTACATTTCTCTATTTGTTTTGCCAAAAAAAATCCCACATGCACTTTACTTCACTCACGGATCAGGTTATGCACATCACTTGAGTCATGGAGATGAGGGTTAAAACCACTTGTTGGTTTAGTTAGACATGAAAAAAACAGTCAGAAACTGTTCTGGGATCAGCAGGTAAACATTCAACCTCACCTTTCTGGTGTTTGTGTGGGGTTGATCACACTTCTCCTGGTGTAGTACTGCCCTCTAGTGGCATCAGGACACTGATATCGCTGACCTGTGAGTGTTTGGTGTGGTTTGTACTGCTTAAGAAGGTCATTCTCCATTTGGAGCGGGAATTCAGGTGGATGCATTCAAAAAAATTCTTTTTCTTTCATCCCAAAACTAAATAATCTTAATATGTCCATTAACATCTCCTATTATCGTATATGCAAATAGGAGAGCTTAATTCCAAACATATTTTACAGTCACTGGTGTTATATGAATGTGGTGAAACACCAGTGACGGTGACTCCAGTGACATTCTGGATAAAACTGAGGATTCTGTAAATCGGCTGAGTCAATAATGGTCGGGTGACCTTGTGCAACTATTTAAAATCAGTAATAAAAATGATATTCGGCTTTATTTTTACATTTTAATTTCCCAGCCATTAAACACACAACACCGGTGACACATAGAAGTTATGAGCTGCCCGATTAACAAAATTATTAATAAATTAATGAAATATAGTGAGTGAGTATGGACTCGCCGTCTCATGCCTCTCTGATGAGCCTCGACCCAGAGAAGCAGTTTAGAGTTGAAAATACTGTGTTAATATGTAATATAAGAGTCCTGATAATACCAGTGACCAAAATCTCAAATGAATTTTTGTAAATAAAATACTCATTTTTTTAAATGTAGTATAACGTTAATGATATAAAAAGTAAACATTAATCTGTTTTATACAAATTTCTAAGTTAAACCTCTTAAAAATGTTGTTTTATATGAAATTTTTTTTCTAAATGTTGAAACTTGGTTTTGTGATGAGCTGTTTTACATACGCAGAGCGACTATGAAACAAGAGAAGTCATAAGGGAAAAGTATTATTTAATCTTAGGGTAAACTGTGTAAATGTACATGCTGACTTTCTGAGCTGTGCCTAATATTTTAAGCATCTTTTTTAAGTCCTGCAACCTTTGTGACATGGTTTCCCACTCCAAAAGGAGAATGACCCAAGAGTCCTTCAACCCAGTACCAAACAAGGCAGCACACAAGCCGTCTAATTCCATTTAATGAATTACATATGAAATTAACAAAACTGTACAACTATCAAACATATTATGCATAATTCACCTCAAAGTCATAGGTTATGGATCATACATCTCTCCGTTTACCTCGACAATACACCAGTATGTGAATATATATAGTTTTTATAAAAAGGAAGAAAAATACAGTTTGCAAAAATAGGAAAGTATGTATTGTCTTATCTTAAAGAACGATGTGGTGTCTAATGTTTGCTACTTTAGCGTAGCGCACTATAAAATACACCATACTATACAGTGTATTGTACTATACGGTCTATAGAAAGGAACAAAACTTCCCTATGAACCTAAAAAGGCCGGCTAGCCTTCTGCTACACTGTGGAGTTTTATTAAGTTAGTTATACTGTGTCCTGAACCACATCAACAAGCCTGTGTGACCTTAATAAAGAATCGGATGTGATTTTCTGCAGTCTACAGAAAAGATTCGGGTGACTACTGACTTCTTGTGTTTGTTAGCAATATTAGCCTCATAGCTAATAGCTCCAGTTTAAAACTAAAGATCAAAAATAGGACACCAAACATGTCTTGGCTGAGCGAATACATCTGGGGAAACTGAAAAATTATGTAAATTTAATTTTTTCATTAAGCCTTTCTAGTGACAGCTGTAAAAATCTGGCATGTTGGTTGTTTAAGAAAAGGTCTAGATGGGCAAGATTAAGTAGGTTTAGGTGTACGGGCATGACGTACGTGGAGTATAGCCAGTAAAGGTTCGAGGTAGGAGTAAATGGAGGGTGTGGTCGGTTACGTTATGGGTCATTAGGGTATTCGGTAGGTTGTGTAAGGTTAAAAATAACCTTAAGGTTTAAAGGCAGGTCATACAGACTAGCCCTTCAGACCCACGACCCTTCAGGATATTAGAACGCTTCCCAGATAGCAGACTGTTTTGGGCTGATTCTGGCTTTCCTGTGTGATTGCTGGTTGACTACCAGGTAGATGTTAGGCATGTGGGCCAGAATAGGGCCAGTTCCTGGACAGCTTCATACCATTTTGCCTCGTGTCTACATTTGTGGGACAATTTTGGCGTGAATGTTGTGGACCAACAATGTAGCTGGGCCAGATTGGCGCCAGATTTGGGCCACATACTTTAGTTCTACACACTTTACAGTGTGTGGGCCAGATCTGGGCCGAGGACTCAGCCGTATGCTGGGCCAGAACAAACCAAGGATGTGGCCCACAAGTGGGCCGGACAAATTTTGCTAACTGGGTTCTCAAACTCACCCTGAATAAGGTGAGACAGACTGAGAACATGAGCAGTGGAGCTATGAGGTTAACGTAGCAAGTATCAGAAGCTTTTACATAAATTAGCACATCTAAATTATCAAACACTTTCCTCAAACCTAGTTGAGTCGTTGAGTAATGCCAAACACACTTGCTTACGCGAGTTCTGACACTGTATGACATACTTTTATTTACAAACAGACAAAATACAGGCTTCAAGATGGCTGCTGCTACTGTTTTTAGCTATGCTAATGTATTTTGCCCATGTTTTTGATAACAGTATGCCAGTGCATGGTGTCAGAAACCACATAAGTCAAGTCAAGTCAAGTCAGCTTTATTGTCAATACTACAATATGTACAGGACATACAGAGTATTGAAATTGCATCAAGTCAGTTTGAGATTATTCAGCTACTCAACATGGTTTGAAGCAAGTGTGTGATGCTAATTCATGTACATAAGCTTCTAATATTGTTAGCAACATTAGCCTTCTAGCTCCAGTGCTCACTGGATCTGAAAAGCGTACTAATTTCCTGAATGGTAGTGTGTCGTTGGTATCGTTGACCCAACACCAAAACACAAGCAAGCCCATTTGAGACTAGGCCTACTTTACAACTCAAAACCATAAGACTGGCTAATGTGGGATCGGATCCCAAGTTAGCTCATACATGCTCAGTGCTTAACGGTTCTAGTTCTCCGTCTCGGACGAGAAGATGAAGGTCCGTCTTTCTGTTCTTCTTTAATCCCTGCTGTAGGGGGCGCTCTTGTCTTTGCCTTTCCCCTTCTTGGCTGATCAGATTCAGGCCCAGCCAGGGCTTTTGACTGTGCTTCATTTTCTTGTTCTTTAGTGTCAGAAGCCAAAGGAACAGCTGTCAGTTCTTCTTTAGGTGTTTTTGCCTCCACAGGTGCCTCGTTTTTGCGTTTGGCCTTTCTCCTTTGGGAACAAGCTGATGTAAGAGGAACGTTGGCGGGTTCTTCCTTGATCTGTGTGGTCAGACTTTCCAGTTTGATCTTTGGGTTCTTCACTGGGGTATCCGGCTCCCCAGGTGAGAGCGGAGAACCAGGTTTAGGCCTTTTATTGGGTGAGGTGAGATGAGCGGAAGGACAGGTGTGCTGGTTTAGACAGGTAGAGCACAAAGGTCCAACAGGTAAACACACCTGCTGTCCAAAGCCTACCAGCAGCAAGTTTATCTCCTGCCACAGATCTCTACAGTGGGAGGGAGAGCAATAGAGGGAGAGAGAAAGAGAGAAAATGTCAAAAAGTGCTAATTACTTTATATGACACTGTGACAGTTGATAGCTTAGAGTAGCACTCAAGTTAAAGGGGACTGTTTCAGTCGTTGAGACAAAGTTCAGAGTGGTTTTGGGCGTATTTCACAAAGCAGGATTTCTTAGTTTTGCCAGATAACAAGTCTAAAGTCAAGCCTGTACAACAGCAAAAGAGCTGAGGGACATTCATTTTGGATAATCCTCAACTTGGGGCTTAAGTTATCTGGCTGGGGTTGGTCAGTAAATTATCTTTAATTAATTAACAACCCCATTTTCAAAAAAGTTGGGACGCTGTGCAGAACGTAAACGAAAATAGAACCCAATGATATGCAAATCATGTGAACCATATTTTTAAAGGAAAATACTACAAAAAACATGTCAAATGTTGAAACTGAGAAATTTTATTGTTTTTTGAAAAATATATGCCCATTTTGAATTTGATGCCAACAACATGTTCCAAAAAAGTTGGGATGGGGGCATGTTTACCACTGTGTTTCATCACCTCTTCTTTTAACAGCACTCTGTAAGTGTTTGGGAACTGAGGAGACACTGCTGTAGTTCTGAAAGTGAAATGTTTTCCCATGCTTGCTTGATATAGGATTTCAGCTGCTCAACAGTTCAGGGGCTCATTTGTGGTATTTTTAATTTAATAATGTACCAAATGTTATCAGTGGTGACAGGTCTGGACTGCAGGCAGGTCAGTTTAGCACCCGGACATTTTATGTTTATGTCTTTTAATGTTATTATGTACCGTAGATGATGAAAAGCAAAAGTTCTTTGCTATTTTATGTTGAGAAACGTTATTCTTGAATTGTTGCACTATTTGATCGTGCAGTCTTTCAGAGTGGTGAACCCCTCCTCATCTTTACTTCTGAAAGACTCAGCCTCTCTGAGATGCTCTTTTATACCCAATCATGTTACTGACCTGTTGCCAATTAACCACCAGGTATTTTTTTTTTAGCATTACACAACTTTACCAGCCTTTTGTTGTCTCTGTCCCAACTTTTTTGGAACGTGTTGTTGGTATCAAATTCAAAATGGGCAAATATTTTTCAAAAACAATAATCTTTCTCAGTTTCAACATTTGATATGTTGTCTTTGTGCTATTTTCAATGAAATATAGGGTTTAAATGATTTGCTCATCATTGCATTTTGTTTTTATTTACATTTTGCATAGCGTCCCAACTTTTTTGGACATGGGGTTGTACATTAGAATGGAAAAAAAATTGTCGCTGTCAGAACAAAACCTTTTACCTCAAAAATGGTGAGATTATAGGAAAAGGAACTTGGAAGATACTCGTACAAACCATTTCTATTGGTTAATTATCATGACATTGTGAAGAGTAACCTCAAAAACAAAAAAAAAAAACATCAACAATTTGTTTTTTTTTCAGAATCTTTGTGTTGTCACTCTGTTGTTACCTTGGTAACCAGTCTTCTAGTGCCTGTCTGGTCTCCTCTGGGTTCTTGGTCTTGGTGCGAGTCCATCCCAGTCTGTTACAGATACGATGGACATGTGTGTCCACTCCTACATACACAGGAGGCAGTGAAGTTAACAACAGCAATTCTTTGAAAAAAGCACCTCATAACTCATTGAGAGTGTAAACATCAATTACATTACAACAATTCAATTACATTTTTAAAAAAAAAAGCAATCCAGTGCATCATGAAATATCTAATTTTACCACGATTTCACTAGATTAGTTTAAAGTAGACTACTACACAAATGTTGCTACACCGTATACGACAAGCTTACAAAATTCTTAGCTTGAGAAATATTAGCTGTATAGACTAGATTGAAGATAATGTGACTTGACAGGACACCAGTTTTTTGCAGCACATAACTCATGACTTTCTGCTCACCAATGCCGGAGACTTGGTTCCAGGCAATGGCCATGGCGAGGTGGGCCATCTTGGGGCCGACACCGGGCAGACGCACCAAACCCTCAACAGTGTTGGGAATATCTCCACCAAACTCCTGACGGATCATCTCCGTCGCCTGCTTTATGTACTTCACCTTTGTCTGTGCGCGTGAGGGAGAACAGAGGTGAAACATACAGACCTGGAGCTGCCACACTCCTGAAGATCTACCACCATACAGCTTACTACCAGCTACCAAGCTTACAAAGTAATGGACACTCTCAGCCACCAATTAGCATTATGTTGTGCTGGTACAAGTGGATCAGACTGCATGCCTAAATCATCACACATGTACAGTTGTTCAGTAATCTAAAACAGACTTCATTGTGTGGTTTCTGATGCTGTATGGACAAAAGTAAATTTGCATAACTGACAAAGTAGTAGCAGGCTTTTGTTCATGTTTTACATTATCAGAAATCACATAAGTGATTCTATTGGGAAGCACTTTTGTTGATCAGCCTTAGGATTAAAACCACCTCCTTGTTTCTACGCTCATTGTCCATTTTATCAGCTCCACTTACTATATAGGAGCACTTTGTAGTTCTACAGTTACAGACTGTAGTCCATCTGTTTCTCTGCATACTTTGTTAGCCCCCTTTTACCCTGTTCTCCAGTGGTCAGGACCACCTCAGGACCGCCGTCTCTGACTTTACATCTACAAGGTGGACTGACAAGGTAGGAGTGTCTAATAGAGTGGACAGTGAGTGGACACAGTGTTTAAAAACTCCAACAGCACTGCTGTGTCTGATCCACTCGTACCAGCACAACACACACTAACACACCACCACCACCTATATGGCCGGTAGAGCTGATAAAATAGACAAAGAGTGTAAAAATAAGGAGGTGGTTTTAATGTTTTGACTGATCAGTGTATAACAGTACCCTCCAAAACCCGACGGGGTAGATCAATTTTCCCAGTGTGTCATCGTCCGTTTTGAGGATGGTGGCCACGGTGAGGCCGTGCGTGCGCAGGCGCTGCATCGCTGCAGCGGTCACCTGGTCCTTCGTCTGACTGGACAACATCAGAGACACCAACACCTGATAGCGCATCACCTGAGAGACAGAAAGAGAAACAATCTTTTCCCAACTCATCTTCATTGTTTGATGAATTGTTTGTATGGATATGAAAGGTTCTGGTCAACTCATGAATTTCTAGTGGATAACCTGGGCAAGTTCCATGCTACCATGCTAGTTTACGAGTAAATTTATCATGTTAAAAATATGTATATTCACTTGGAGGACCTGGGCAAGTGCTGCTGTGGTTTCAGAGTATATACTGGCAGGTGAAACGTCCCAACTCGTAAAGTCGGCTAATGTGGAATGTGCTTGACATTACCACTTGTTACACTCTGTCAGCCATTCACAAGCAACTTGTGGTACACTAGGAAACCCATGAGGACCATCCAAACACACCAGAAGTCAAGTCAGGGGGTCAAGAGTATCTGAGTAGTTCACGGTCACCTCGGGTGAAGCCTGTGGGTCGAAGCATTTATTTGCGCCCATGTGGTCCACAGGAGCATCCCGCCCACTCCTCATCTCCCTGATGAAGGACAGCTGCTTCCTCCAATCATGTGGCTCCCAGGGTTCCCTCTTCATTCTGGGACCATCTTCCTCATACTCCACTTTAATATGGCCCCTCCTTGGTGTCCGTGGCGATTTTAAAGGTGCGGGTCCGTCCCTAAGGCCTTCCTTAATTTCTGCTGTGAATAAAAAACATGAAACATACAAATAAGCACCTAATATAGATTTCATAGGTGGGTGCAGATGTATTTAGATGTAGTGACATTTACACCTAATATAGTTTAGCTCCGCCCACTCATGTTAAAGGTATAAGGAGTGTTTCACCGCAGACTACTTTTTGAATGAGGCGCAATACAGGACAGTCAATCAGAACAGAGGTCATTTACATACAGTTGCATCTGGTATGAACGTTGCATTTACAGTATACCCATCTTTAACAAAGAAAGTTAACTCCAGCTCCCTGTGCCAAGCTTCTTCTTAGCCCACCTGCAGACTCTCCTAGTGCAGCTTGTGTAGGTGGAGACCCCTCAGTGTGAGAAACTCTGTGCTCCTCGGTTTCCTCCTTCACTCGCACCCTGTTTCTCTCCACACCTTTACCCATTTTGGCTTTCAATCCCCTGATCCCTCCTCCTTTACGTGAAGTTCTGGCCTCAGGATCATCTCTGGAGCAGCATGAGCGGACTGTACTTTTGCTATTGAAATACGGAGAGCTCATTCTTACAGCCGAGTACTTGACCATGCAAATGAAACGGAGTGAGCAAAACATTAATAAACGCGAATAAACTTCAGATTACAGTGAGCCATGTTTGAAATAATCACGCTACTAGCCGTACAGCACTTTTCAGAAAAAAACATTTCTGCGGCGTTCACAGTGTTGTAGTTTTTGTTGACCGCCTACTCAATGTGTGCGACCGGACAGCGAAGCGTTTGAGAACTACAATTCCCAGAAAGACCCGGATGCGCCGTTGTTTTTTAAGGGAAGTGCATGTAGGTTTGTTCAACATGACTTCCGACTGGAGCTGATTTCGGGGGGGGAGTGCAGTTTTGCTGGTGTGAAACATGGGAAGACATCCATAAATGCACAGAATTTCTGTGGTTCGTCGTCTCCGGGGGTCTTCCTCTCTCCGATTAACCTTCATGATAAGATAACAGCGCCTTTGTTGCCGAAGCACTGCGGTGAGAAATCCGTGTCTGCTGCGTTTCAGCTGTTCGTGTTTGTGCTCTGCAGCTTGGCTGAAAGCGAGGAGATGTGTGTTTATTTGTTTATTTATTTATTATTTCTGCTTGTTTGTTTGTTTACTCGGGGTCTAGTTCACAGCAGATAGCGCTCATATCCGAAGGAGGGCTTGGCATCGCGGATAAAAGTGGTGTTTGGGTTTGAAGCACGAACATTTCTGTTGGTCTGTGTGGCTAAAAGTAACATTAGGGCTCCAGAGGTTTATTGACATCTGATATTCAGTTTTCCGGCGGTATGTTGGCTTCTTTAAGGTTACGTAATCCTCTCTTTTTGACAAACTGCAGATTGTGACTGTTATTTTTTTATTATAAATGTGCAAACGAGGCTGTTTTTCTCGGTTAGCTTGGTGACCTGTACCAGAATTAAAGCCTGGAGCAACAGAAGAAGAGCAAATCTCATTTTTGTTGTTGGGCCTGTTGTTATCCAGCTTTGTGAAACACCTCCCTGAGCATAAATGTGTTTTTGTCCAGTGCACACTTCAGGTTTAAGCTATCTAGCTAACTAAGGATTCCAGTCCAGTTAAGTGTTACAGCAGAATGTCTCAGTTAACTGGATAACTTGATCCAAAAGCCTGTTAGACTGTCCAGTTGGGTATTTCACAAAGCAGGATTTCACAGTTTAGCTAGATAATTTAAACCCAAAGTCAGGCCTGTCCAGCAAGCAAAGAGCTGGGGGGCGTTCCCATTGGATAATAACGTAATTAACAACTTTGGGCTTTAGTTATCAAGCTAGCTAACTGAGAAATCCTTCTCTGTGATGTCTTAACTTGTCTGGCCTGCTGTGAATGTCCTCCTCTGCCTACGTGACGTTTGGGAGCTGTCCTGATTTCACCTCCCGATGACCCTCCTCCAGAATGAGCAAGCTAGCATGTTTAATTATCATGAGGCTGTTACAGTTAACTACGGAGCCCTGATGATGACATGCTGTATAAATAAAAATAATGCGTGGCCACGCCTTATTAACTCGTGGGAACAAGATCCTAATGCGTGGGAACGAGATCACGGCTTACTAAGTCATGGCCACGCATTAGGATCTTGTTCCCACGCCTTACTAAGCCGTGGCCACGCATTATTTTTATTAATACAGGATGTCTCCAGTGGGGCTCCGTAGTTAACTGTAAAACGTCACTGATGTAATTCAGTTGTGTTCCAGCTTTGTTGCATTTGTTTATAAATGTATTCAGGCTCAGAAGACTCAGGCTGTCTACCTGAGCCTTTTGAGGTTCCTCCCAGAGCTGTTGATTGACATGTGATATGCATGATTTATCCAATAACACTGTGAAAATTGCAGGAATTACCGCTCTGCAGTGTCTTCTGGGTTTCTCAGACGCTAGAGGGCGCTCCCGAGCGAGTCCAAAATGAATGGGTTTATATGGAGCATTTGAGCAAAATCATAGTTTATAAATGCTGAAACATTTTAATGTAAAAGAATTCGATCATTTCCTGAACAAAGAGCAGCATAAAACATTTTAACACCGCTGTTATGTTTTTAAGAGCTTTTAAACTCGAGTTATAGGAGTTTAAAACGGCGCCTCATGTAGGTTCATGACGCCAGTGAGCGTGAACAGCCAATGAGCTGCTCCGCTCGCCAACCAGTCAGCACTCAGTAGCAGTAATGCTAGCATTCTGCTGCCCAAAACCCGTTTGCTGTAGAAAAAAGGAAAAATACAGGTACATTTTCTTTGCTTTTTTTTTAGTGAAATACATTCTTCTACTTTTTAAAATTAAAGAAACGTTCTGGACGAGTGATTAGAAACTATTTTAACTTTTTGTTTTTAGCTGTTGAGCTCCATTCACTCCCATTCATTGAGGACTCGCTCACGAGCGCCCTCTGCTGTTCAGCAGTCCTGTTTTTGATATAACGAGGGAAATAGGAAGTGGCCAGGCTTCTCATAAACCAGCTCTGGAATTACCACTCTGCAATGTCTTCTGGGTTTCTTAAATGCTAGAGGGCACTCCTGAGCAAGTCCAAAACGAATGGGCTAAGATGGAGCATTCTTTCTTTCACAATGGTGTGTTCCTCAGTCTATTAGCTCTACATGCTGATTCATGGTAGACGCTGAAGAGCTGGCAGGTTTGCATATATTGTACCTAGAGTGGAGGAAATTGTGGAAACGTGGCTGTTGAGCTGCGCTGGTTAAACGCACTCGGCGCAGCAGACAGATGTGGTGTACAGGCTAGGACGTCCTCAAACCGCAGGGTCAGGTTGAAGACGTCGGACAAAATAACTTAAGGTCTGGGGTGAAACGTGGTCGATTCTCAGCTCCTTCAGACATCACAACACTGGACGGTTCTTTATTACCAAATTAATTACAATTTCAAGGTCAAATTAAAAATGACAGTAAAACACCCATTTTTACTGAATACTGCATGTTTATTGTGTTTTATGTTCTTTTATCTGACAGATCAAATTTCAAATCATACACCATCACTGCTCCACTGTTTGTTCGAAGTTAGGAACTATCATGAATATAATGTATATTCCTGTGTGTATGAGTGTGTTTGAGCGTATTACATAATAAAAAATATACAGGGACACTGATCATTTTTGGGATGGACGATGTGCGCACACACCACCTGATCGTATTTACATAGACAATTTAGTTGTTTAGGTTTGTTCTTTTTGTTGAAAGATTTTCTGTGTAGTTTCACTTTAATGTGGCTTTTGTTAATCCTTTTTTTTTCTAAGCAGAATTTATGAAGAATTCTTTCAGTTTTGCATACAAAGAAAATTAGAAAAACTAATTAGATATGCGGGAGCTAAATATCCTGCTCATGTAGGCCTTAAGCTCCAAGTGTGTTTATCAGATGTGTTGGTTTGCGAACTCTGGTTTAGAAGGTTTTCTCTTTCTTTCTCTCTTTCTCAGTAAGTACTCCTGTCTTTCCGCTGGGACGATGAATAAGCAGCCTAGTAAGGAGTCTCTGAAGGAAAGACTGAAGGGAGTGTTTGGTCTCGGGCAGCCTCGTCTGCCCAGTAAACAGACGGAGAGTAAACCATCTGAGTTCATCATCACCTACGACATCCTGAAGGTCAGACCTGCTGCTCATGCTGCCTGTCTTTCTGATACACACACACACACACACACACACACACACACACACACACACACAGACACACACACACACTGATCAGGCATAACATTATGACCACCTCCTTGTTTCTACGCTCATTGTCCATTTTATCAGCTCCACTTACTATATAGGTGCACTTTGTAGTTCTACAGTTACAGACTGTAGTCCATCTGTTTCTCTGCATACTTTGTTAGCCCCCTTTTACCCTGTTCTTCAGTGGTCTTGATGGACCCCCATGGACCCTCACAGAGCAGGTACTATTTGGGTGGTGGATCATTCTCAGCACTGATGTGGTGGTGGTGTGTTAGTGTGTGTTGTGCTGGTCTGAGTGGATCAGACACAGCAGTGCAGCTGGAGTTTTGTCTGTAGTCTGTAACTGTAGAACTACAAAGTGCACCTATATAGTAAGTGGAGCTGATAAAATGGACAATGAGCGTAGAAACAAGGAGGTGGTCATAATGTTATGCCTGTGTACATATATCTACATATATACATATGTAGCACAAATACATTATCAAAAGTGATAAAATGAGCTACTGTAAGTTTCTTTATCAGCATCCTCCTTTCTTTTTTAACACCCCCCATTTTTCTTTCTTTCTATCTTTCTTTCATTCTGTCTCTCTAGGAACTGGCACCTGAGTGTGGGCTGAGTAACAGGATCAGAGTCATCAACCATGTCTGTGACCTCGCCAAGTCCAAAAAGTTTGAAGAGGTAAGAGAGAAATGTTTCATCTATTGTTGAGAATCGGCGTGTTTATATTGCACTTTAACCCCATGAACCTGATGGGTACTGGGTCCAAAAAACAAGTGTGCCACCACTTTTTCTGTCACTATGTAAAATGGGAATATGTGGCTCATATATGATCAAAAAGGTAGTTTGTGACACAAACTCAATAAAAACCTCTGGATTTCCAGATTTGTTAGATCACTTTGTTTACATGTCAAAATAAATCCAACAGCAGCAAATCACGTGATTAATAGAATAGAGTACATAAAACTGCAGACATAGCCACTTTATGAGTCGGGTTTAGGGGTTTATGTTTAAAACTTGCAACAAAGAGGTTCTTTCTGAGATGCTATAGAAGAACCTTTTTTGGTTCCCTAAAGAGACATGCTTGAAAAAGAGATTTGTGAATGTAAAGAACTTTTTAAAGGGCCCAGCTCATATATACACCTAGTATTTGTCTTTTCCCTGTCCACACATAATGTTTGTGTGGTTTTATGTACTGAAAAGTCACTTTTTTCTCCATATGGTTCTCCAGAGGTTCTTCCTAAGACATAGAATACGTAGAGCTTCAGAAAAGGTTCTTCAGTCCCACACTTTTCCAAAGTGGTTCTCCATTGAAGGCCTCTTTAACGAATCATACTTCATGGCATCGTAATAAAGGAATTGACTGACTGTGTGTGTGTGTGTGTGTGTGTTAGCATGCTGTGGCGGCACTGTGGAAGGCAGTGGAGGACATGATGCAGCCAGAACAACCACCTGAAGCTCGACATGCTGTACTGCTGCTGCTCAGAGCTATTATTCAGGGACAGGTAACTTACATTCACATAAATGTAAAGCATAGGCGCT